TCTAAATATATAAACCAGTTATATTAATAAAGAATCTTACAATGATTGCAAATGTTTTTTCGTCTGAACACAGCCAATGCATTGAGCTTTTACGAAAATAACTATCTGTTTTTTGCAACAAATTGCATAAAATTGGGCTTTAAACAAGAAATTGCTGAGAAACGTACATGATTAATATAATAAATTGTAAATACAGTGTTAGTGATATTATTTTCCAATGTCTTTCAAAATATTTCTTCGCTGAAGAGCACTTTAAAATAAAATTGTCGTAAAAATTACACGATTTTTTACAATACTGCAAAATTAGAAAGTGTCTCTTATATTTGATTATCTTAATAATCAAAGTAAGGGCCACAAAATACTTAAATAGTAAAACGTAAGCAGGCCAATCAGTATAGACGTAAGGTCACAACAATGAATAACAAATCCAATCACATGTTGATTTCTTTATTGCTTAAGCCTTACTGCTTAAGTTTCTTTGTGTGCTATAGCTTTAATACTTGTGTAATTTATATGCATCATCTCCATGTCGCCGGGGTATCAGTTTTAAAAAACGCTTCACTTTTTCAGGAAGACCATATCTCCAGCTGCGTTCTACGCAAAGATAACGATAATCTTTTCTAAACATTTCTGAGTAATGTAAGATACGGCGGTGTTCTTAATCGTTTTTTTTATTGCGCGTGGATAAATCATTTTTTATTTTTTTCGTTTTACATGCGTGTCTCACGCATGGATATTACAGCTATGGAATTTTTTTTATTCTATGACTACGACTGTGCCTACAATGTTGTATTTCAATTTTCAGTGCCTCGGAAAACGCCTCGAATACGCCGAATCGACGAAGAAAAAATATCGTTCGATGATGAAGCTTTTTTTGTTCCGGCATCGAAATTCATATTCCTTTCAGCATACGTCCGTGCAGCTCGCGTCAACCAGAAATGCCTGCAAAACGCCTGACATCAGAGGAAAAACACATTAGCTCACGTGTTTCCAGAACAGGCCGCGAGAGGTCGGACTCTCACGGACGTCCTAGCACGCGCCGCGTTCCGAGAACGCGGCCAGGTCGCGCCGTCGCCGTCGCCACCGATGAGTTTGATGACGTAAGAGAATAAAAGCAGCACAAAAGGCTTGCTGGTTCATTAGCGCGAACTGTATGACCGTCCCCTGGGCTGATCGCGAGCTGCGCGACGCGATGCGAATTGCGACGTGGCGGCGCAATCTTTGTCCTTTGACTCTGGACACATTGCACAAGCTTGTTCAGAATCGTCGCCGTCGAATCGTCGTTGTCACTGAATTATTCACGTCTCGCCGTTCACCCAACGCGCACACACCAGAATATAACCGACTCCACGAATTTTATGATCGCATCAACCGCTGCGCTTGCAGCGGATTTTCGAGATCCGGGATGGCTGATAAGCAGCCAGGAGGACGTTCCAGAACTCTAAATAAAGCAAATAGATTGACCCGACGGGTCTTTCCAACGTCGTTCGAAAGTTCATCCTTTTTGCATGAGAGCGTCGTTCGATATCCGTTAAGTAGATAAATATGTAATTTAGGGAGGAATTAAGGAGTATTAACTATTGTCCTTAATTTTTCTCTAAATTAGATATTTAGAATGTTTATTTTATGCTCAATTTTTCTGGTTAATTTATGATTTAGATTTACAATTAAATTTACTTAATTTTGGTTAATATAAAAATTGTTTTTGTAGCTATGATTAATTATTAAAATGATGTGAATTTGAAAAGTTACTCATTCTAAAATTATTAGTTTAATGATATTAACATAATCGAAAAAACACAATTTTTATTTGTAGAAATTCTTTTAGTTATGATTAATCACTAAGTGATAATTTTGTAATTTTAAAAGCTATTCACTACTCAAACAACACGCATTTGTTTAGGTTTAGAAGACCTCTTTATGATATCTTTTTAGATATCTTTAACACACATTCTATAACAAGAGCCGTTACGTAAGCTTTTAAAGCTTAAGTTGTAAGAAATTGAAAAATCGAACTTGAGAAGAATAATCGATTTGGTCAATTTCTTAATTTAAGACCTAAATAATAGCTATAGATATTTTATATATATATATAAAATGGCTCATAAAAAGCCTATTTAAATATATCCCAAAAGATGCCTTTATGATGTCTTTAGAACATCTTTTAGGCATGCATATTGTCTAGATATAAAATTCCTAGTTTAGTGATTAAACATAGAAAAAAATACAATTATTTACATTATCTAGTTTAATTACATCGAACCTTAAAGTTACAAGCATTTAGATTGCGAAAATTTATACATCTCGTACATATCTTGAGTGTTCGTTATAAGTTTTTGCAACGTGACGCGAGATTATATTGCAGTTGCACCTGGCTTCTACCTGTGCAGGTGCTTAGGAAAGCCTCATGGAGAACGACGTTTCTCCTGCATTTCATGGATCTTTTATTTTTCGCGAAATAACTTATAAAGAACACTCGTACCTGACAAGTTCTATTTACAAAGGAGCTCTGTTTTCTCTATTTAACCTCTCGCGGTCGAATTCAGATTTGTTTGATCGCCACAACTCATTTCGCCTCGTTCACGCGTTTCATTATATAAATATTCAAATATAGACATTAAAACACGTGGAGATTACAAAAAAATTTGAATTCTTGCAGGCAGGAATTCTTTTCGTTGCAATTTTTTATACATGCAAAATTAAAGAAAACGAATCTAAGTCACTTTTCAATTTCATTACCAAGAATCGTTCTCGAGAGCGATGAGCAATCTTAAGAAAGTTTAGGAATACTTCACATCGCGATAAAGACTAAGCGATAATCTATATCATCGAGGATAATAAATTCCACGAGAAATTTAAATAACAAAATAAGGGGAGCTTCGTAAATTACGTCTCTCGTGAGTCTCTGACCTAAGAATTCCTACATACGATCCGTTTCAAATGTCTCACGAGTCGAGACAATTTTCTTTTGTTCAATAAGATGAAAATTATAATCCCAAATCGTTTTCAAGTCTGCGATTTTGCATAAGCATGACAAGAGCGAAGGATTCGCAAAAATATCGAAAGAATTTGGATTAACGAGGAATGCCGAGGTTTTCTTGGCATCGAACGTGTTCTCAATGTCCAAGGACTCAAACATTCGTGATCGAAACGGCCGACGAGTTTGCATCGAGGAACGCGAGTGCCTAGCAGTGCCTACGTAAGCGAATGTGGACGGGCTTCGCTTGCATTTCTGTCCCCCTTCCCCCATCATTTCAACATAGGGCGGAGGAGGCTGTGGTTTCAGCGGGCAGAGGCGGAGGGAGTGAAAAACACCTGTTACGGACTTCCGTAAACACGAGGTGTTCTGTTTATTTTCGTACTACGTCGCCTGTTTCGTACTGCATTAGAATTGCGGACGTACTACTTGTTCATTGTCACGACACGCGGAATCGTTCCCTTGCTTACCGACCGCCGTGGTGAGCGCGACGGATAAGATGGCACCACCTTCCGATTCGATTGTAAAACAGAACAACTGCAGGTCACGAAAACAGAAAATGATGCTAAAATATAAATTATGACTAATCGATAAATTAATTATTTTGAAATTATTTTAATGTTATTTTAGTATTGTGATTTTTTTTCTACTTAAACACTGCTCGATTTTCAATAAAAAAAAAATTGTAAAATTATTGTTAATTATTGTTAATTATTTTTACTCATTATGTTTCTCTGCGCTTTTGTGTGAAAAATCTGAACAAAGACATGTTTAATTCAAATAAATTCAAATAGTCTCTGTAATTTGAAATATATATATATATATATTATTTCAAGAAAACTTTTCTCGCTTTTAAATGCGATTTGTGTGAAACAAATCTCGTAAAGTCGACTAGCAAGTTTTTCATATTAGAAATACAGGATGTGTCATGACGGATATAATCATTAGATCCTTGTGCTCTTTTCTCTCTTTTTCTCCTCTCTCTCTCTTTCAAGGAGACTTTGAACTCGGATAATATCGCACTTATTTCGTGCGACTTCGGTTGCCCTCGGCATCAGATTACATACGATTATATGAAAAAAGATTGAAAAACTGGCGTGGAATACGAAATACAATAAAAAGTGCATGCGCATATTAACAAGTGAAGTCCGTTCTGAATACAGGCGCCAAATCACACACTTTCGAAATTTACATGTAACGTGATTGAAATTTTGACGGAATTGAAAATGTACCATATGTTATAGATTTCATAAAAAGACAAATAAACTTGAAGAATTCTTACAAAATGTATTGGAAATCACGAATTGAAATAATTTCGGAAATCTATTTATACATTTAATTTTTATGTTGCATAAAATAAGAGTCCGTTTAGTTAAACTGTACACTTTCTGCATTTAAAGTGAAATACATTATTTGAAATTTGCTGAATACAAGAAGGAAAGTTAATTGTAGTGCAGAAATAAAAACGAACTTTTTTTATCACATTATACGTGCAAACGCAAAGTTTAAACGCGACGGCGATTGCTGCGTTGACTGAAAAGCGAGAGAAATCTATCCTAGAAAAATCCAGCTTTATTCATTTTATCTCCTTTTTACAACGGAGTTTCTCCGTCGTCGATGATCTCTTGCTGCACGATCACGTAGCTCATCTACCGTGACGCAAATTCTAGAAATCGCGCGTGTTTCCTAATAATCTCTTCCCTCTTCTCTTTCTCTCTGACGTTTGGATTCCGCGTCTGATGACGTCACATGAGATGACTGACGTAAGCGTTAAAAAACTATTGAAAAATCGCCATTATTAGAGACACGTGTAAATCGCGCACCACCCTACGTGTGTCCCACCCTCTGAAGTTTGGCGTAGGGTGGCCTCAACGTCACGTGACGTCACCCACGTGTGCGCAGTGGCGCACCGCGCAGACAGCCGGGCGCAGCCGAGGTCGACCGAGCGACGATCGAGTGGGACCGAAGTCGGTCGAGCCGACGGCCGAGCTGAGCCGAATCGTTCCGAACGGGACAAGTATAACGTCTGATAACACTCGGCGATGGACTGTCACGATAGTACGCGCGATTGCCTTTGACAGTTCACGTTTCACGACAGTGTACGATCCGTCGTGGGATACAATTCGCGGCGTTGTACATAAAAGTAAATATGATGCCAAGGCTTTAAGTCTAGAGGCATCGAATGAGAACGAAGTCCATTGGGGAACGTAACGGCTGTGCGCCAAGGTGTGTGCGTGTGTACGCGCGCGTCAGTGCAGCTCACCTACACCTGTATCCGGGGATTTCACGCACACGAACGTGCACAGACGTACGAGTACAATATCCTTAGCCTTGGACGGACCACCGCCCGACCAGCGCTAGGACAAAGGACGGCGACGTCAGCGTCGTCGAACACTTTCATCGATATTAACGTTCCTTTTTATCTCTTTTATACCCACCTTTTTTTCCTACGCATTTAATCTAGCGGAAATTTCATATATATTTCTCGTATATACCACGTACAGCTCTCTCTCTCTCTCTCTCTCTCTCTCTCTCTCTCTCTCTCTCTCTCTCTCTCTCTCTTTCCGTGCTTTGTGAGCAGTCCTCAATCCTTTTAGCGACTTTCGATAATCATCTTTTCGCTAAACTTCATATCCAGTCGCTCTGGCGAGTCTCGCCTTTTCTCCATAGTAAGTAGTCGTGAAATAAAATAAATACGTATCGCCTCGCGTGCGCCCGCACAACGAGCAAGTGAGCACCTTTCCTCTTTCTCTTGTTTTCTTCTCCATCTACCTCCGTTTCCCTCTCCTCCTGCGACCCCCTTCCTCTTCCTTCCTCAAGTGCACTCCCTCGCGAACGTAGGCTCTCCGTTAGTCCGTTCCTCTTCTCTCCACGGTGCGGAACATCGTATAGCGAGCGCCCTCTCGCTCCCTCCAGCAGCAGCGGCACGTCGTTTCCCGTCGACTCCGTCGTCTCGGGGGACAGAATATGGAGGCGATAGCGAAGCACGACTTCACGGCGACCGCCGAGGACGAGCTCAGCTTCCGCAGGAGCCAGGTCCTGAAGGTTGGTAGAACTTTAGAGATGGCTATCTGGCCCGACCCCTATTCCCGTCACCTGGTTCGTCGTCTGACGCCCTGACGAGGCGCGTTGTCTTGCGTCGCCTCGCGCCTCGTTCCATCCCGTCTCCGTCGTGTCGCATCGCGCCGCGATCACGAGACCTCTGGCCGATCTCGAAATTTCCACCGTCGCGACTCGTCGTCGACCGATGTCCTAAAAAATACGAGAGATGTTGTTGTATATACATACGAATGAATCCGTCGATCGGCATTCACTGCGCTCAGAAAGCTGTCGTATGTGTGACACAAACATTCTATGAAGATTACTCGAGGCAATAACAATTGTTATTGTTTAGAGCAATGACGACAATGATTGTCGTAAGGATTAAAGTAATTGTTGTTGGTGAATATATTCTTTTTAGCTGTGTTTCGACACAGCTTCTTCTGTATAAAAATATTTATTTGAGCTTATACTTGAGCATATATATTTGCGCTTCAAAGATGCTTCAATTAAAAAAAAAAAAAGGAAGGAAATTGAGAGAAGATCATATGTATCAGATTCATTGTAAATTTCATATTTTTTAAAATATTTGTTAAAGGCTATTTTTAATTTTGTTTCCTAACGATGAAAACTTTTAGATAAAATTTTTTTTGCAAATTTCGATCTAAAATTACAAATAATTTATTATGCATTGTAGATATTATTTTTCATTGTAATAATAACATTAGATTCAATTAAATTTTGACAGTAAAATCCTTAAATAATATAAATTGTAATATTTTGGAAATTTAGATATACTATGAGTGAAAAAAATATTCTCACAGAGAAAATAATTTAAAAACATAAACCTTATTTTCAAAAAGTAAACATCTAGCAAGAAATGACTCATCGAATTGATGTCAAAGCGATATCGGTGATTTCGACATAAATTCAACGTCTAATTGACGGTCATTTCTTGCTGAATTAACAATTTATTTATTAAAGAATAAAATAGTGTACATTTCAAAATTATTTATACCAAAAAGATGTATAATAGAAAATATCTCAAAAATAAGCAAAAATTAAAAATTGTATTGTTTGGATGCTTAAAAAGTATTCGTACAGAAATTGAGTTTTTTAAAATCAGGAATATGCGAAATTCGTTTGTTTATATTAGAAGAGAATGTATTCATTGTATAAAATTGTTAATTAATCTTTATTTTCTACAAATAAGACTTTTTTATAAACAAATTTCCTTATACAAAAACTTTTTGTACTCATTGTATTCAGGTCCCTGAAAATTGAAATTATTTATCAGATTGTGATTTTTATTTTTTAAAAGAATTTACAGCCCCCATTATTAATAAAATATTCAATTTTTAAATTATAAAATGTAATATATAATTATAAAATTCCATTAATTGTATAAGAAATGTTTTTTCCTTTCAATTTAAATTTAAATAGAATTATGCAGTTTCTACTTTCTTTAAAATCCCAAAATGTTAATATAAAAATATTAAATGTGCAGTTAATATTAGAATGTTATATGTATTTTTATAAATCTAAGTTAAAAATTATTTCTTATATATAACATTTTTTTGCAGATTCTAAATATGGAGGATGATATGAATTGGTATAGAGCTGAATTGGATTCTAGAGAAGGACTTATACCGAGTAATTACATTGAGATGAAGAGCCATGAGTACGTTATTATTACTGTATGATATATTTATGTATATTACAGACAGAAACTTAACAATTATTATCTAATAAAGTATATTCTTGTTTTCATAGATTTATAGAAATATATTCACATATAATCTTGTACACAAATTATTTTCTTATCTGCTACAGCTGGTATTATGGCAGGATAACTAGAGCAGATGCTGAAAGATTATTGATGAACAAACATGAAGGTGCCTTTCTGATCAGAATTAGTGAAAGTTCTCCTGGTGATTTCTCTTTATCCGTAAAGTGAGTATTATATTAGATAAATAATATGTATCTAATTATAGTTATTGACATTTTTGTGACAAATGAGAAATATTCAGCGTAGATTTTAATAGAAATTTCAGTTGTATATATGGAAATCCCCATTAAGGGTTTTTACAAACTAAAAATAATCGTTTTTTAATACTGTTATTAATTATTAACGAGATATAAAATAAAATAACTATAATTTATATATACAGATGCTCCGACGGTGTGCAACATTTCAAAGTATTAAGAGACGCACAAGGCAAGTTCTTTTTATGGGTTGTCAAATTTAACAGCCTCAATGAACTGGTGGAATATCATCGTACAGCGTCTGTTTCTCGCTCACAGGATGTTAAGCTGCGTGATATGGTCCCTGAGGAGGTAAAAATTGACATTATAATAATTGTCTCTATAATAACAGTATAATTTGTGATTTGAAGTTTTGTGATAAATGTTCTTTTTTATTTATATCTATTTATATGTGTTTTTGATTACATAATGGTAAACTAATTTATCATGGCTTTCAGTGTTTAGTACAAGCACTTTACGATTTTGCACCGCAAGAGCCTGGCGAATTGGAGTTCCGACGAGGAGATGTAATTACTGTCACAGATCGTACAGATCAGCATTGGTGGCATGGAGAAATTGGAAATAGACGGGGACTTTTTCCGTCCACCTATGTCACGCCATACCACTCCTAGGTAAGAAAGTTTTTACAATTTATCTTTATTTAAATATATCTATTTTTTCTTATTTATAAATTTTAATATGTGATTTAATCTTATTGATTAATAAGTTTCTTACAATTATGTAAAAAATATGTGCGCCATTATAAATGAGATATGAAGAAGAAAGATTGAGGATATTAAAAATATATATGTGATATCATTATATAATAAAAAATATGTTTTTAATTTTTTGTATTTCTATTT